TCCGTTCAATAGATGTTTGATCCTTTTTTTATGTCCATGGTCTCCAAAAATAGTTTCCTTCTGTTTTTTAGCAGTGGTTACACCAAATGAACGTGAAGCTTCTGAATGAATACCCATTGTGAGAGCAAAGGGTGTCTTCTAGGGCCTGGATTCTAGGCTGTAGTACCACACAAAATGCAAAAATTCTTCTTAACAGTGGCAAGAATGGGCAAACGTCAAGTAAAGGACTGCTAGTTCTCAAAGCGTCAGTGCGGTCCTTGGTCTCCAAGGTCTCTGGCCAGTAGGCACCTGATCCCTAGCTTGTATGAACACATCACCCTTTTATATGATTTGAAGAAGGCAAACATCTCTGAGACTTCAGCTAGATTCATTGGAAGCAATCTTTTGATAATGAAAAACTTGCCAACCTCTTCTTCTCGGGCTCTCCTATTACTACAAGCAGAAAGGAGAGTGAGTCTGGGGACCCTAGCTCATCAGCTCACTGCATATTTGGGATATTAGCCTCCTGCTAATATTCTTAGTTCGTGTTACTCAATGAAGTGCAAACATCTAGGAAGTGGGTGAAATGGGATGTAAATCAGGCTTTCTCACTGCAATGATCATGCCCACCAATTACTTAGCATCAAGCCAGCAGAACATTATACAGATCTTTTTCTTAGAATCTGATCACATAAAATATTATCTGAAATACTCTAACACTGTGACTATTACACTTTGCTACCCAACACTCATGGCCATCACCAATTCGTTCTCCAGAAGTACAGCTTGTTTTTGAGTAGACCGTGGAAATAGCTTTTCTGAGCCCAACTTCTTTCCCTCAGTGTCGTTCTTTCTGGTATCACCAGTGCTTTGCTCCTTCCTTTTGCTAGATTGTGATCTTTCATATCACAGGTTGCGCATGTTCCCAGAGATATTTGGGTATTCCGCTGGGGCATTTAAAACAGAGCTATGATACACATTCATGCACAGGTTTCTGTGTAAACATAAATGTGCAACATTTCATTTTTCTAGAATAAACATCTAAGAGTAGACCCAGGCAGCCCTAGTTTTCTCTGAGGATATGGAGTCCCAGAACTAGGACGCAGTAGGCTTGGTCCACTGCCTCTGGAAGGATCTACTAATACAAGATCTGCACGTGGAAGGGAACTTGTGAATTTTTCATTAGGTGGCCCCAGAGGCCAGTGAAGAAGGAGTAAGCTTGCTGTAAAGCTATTATATTTGTCACACATATATTTCCTCCCTCTGGGTAAAAGTGTTCTATTTGCTGTGAAATTCAGTTGCCATCTTTAAGTCTCCATGACCAAAGAGCACAGTGTCTCTCACTGGCAAACGTTCACATGGAGTGTCACACTGGCCAAGGGCAGGACCAATTAATTCATGGTGCCCAGGAAGCTAGTGAGCATAGAGGAAGCCACACACATCTATTCCGGGGAAAGAAGCGCTGTTTTGAAACAACAAACATCATACCAAGCATTAATTGGTTACATGCTTTATATTTCCCTGACTCCCTCTAAATCTTACTTGGTTGCTGTCAGAAGAAAAGTCCTCATAACAAGAGATGGGGATTATATCAATGAGAAATAAAACGATTTTTTCCTCAGAAAAGGGCTATTAGATGTACGATGCAAGGATCAGTCACCTTCTCATTAACCTCTCAAAATGAATCTATTTCAGGTTGGGTTTGAAAATGTTTTGCCTCTAAAAGCTACCACGAAGTCTAACAGTTAATTGTTATTCTTATCGAAGAATGACCCACATTAACATTTAGTTGGGGTCATTAGCATATTTATAAAAAAGTGTGTGTGTGTGGCTAATGTGCATTCTTTTCTCGGCTGCTCTTTGTCATGAAGGAAAATCCACAGGAAAAAAAGGAAGTAAATATTATTAACCAATATTTCAGACTCAACTTCAAGTATCAAAATGCCTGCACCCATCCCAGCCCTGAACTGGCAGGCTACAGATTGGATTTTAATTGCATGTAGATACAAACTTGTTTGGGATCACTATGGCTTCTTTCATGACATAAACAGCTTTAAACTAGTTAACAAACACCACGAGCTGAGGACAGAGGTTGGGGAGGGATCTCTTCATTAGGTACATTGAGATTAACAATTGGAGCAAAACTACATCTTTGATTATTCCATGAAATCGTGGGCTTATTTTTTTTTTCCCCTCTTGACAGCATGGAATGAATTCTAATTCTGTACAAGATGAAATACTTAGAAAGAATCTAAATGTGGGACATCCTCAACAGCTTGGTAGATAACTGAAATGCTTGGGAACATGTAAGTGTGCGTGTGTGTGTGTGTGTGTGTGTGTGTGTGTGCACAGATAGTGGAGATATTAATATTCTTGTTTGAAAAATCAGCCATTGAGAGGCTTAGTGTATTGGTGAAAAACCCATGGGGTTCCATGGCTTACTCATTCTTTTGGGGGAAAAAGTGTTCATTTTTATTTGGAAATGAAACAAAAGTAGATTGTGGTTTTAGTTCTAAATCCAACACTGGTAGTATTGGAAAGGAAGCAGACAGAGTCCTAGACCTAAAGAGGAGATGTGTGCAAGCGAGCATTTCATGTTACTTTTCAAGGGACAGAGGGTATTTTTCAGGGCTTGAATAGTTTGCTGCAAATCATATGATTACCATGTTCATGTGACTGTGGAATGAAAATGCTATCGTGTGTGTGTGTGTGTGTGGGCATGCTAGACGCAGAGAAAAGCGACACGTGGTGGTAGCATGAGGAGTGGTAAGAACTAAACAGAAAACGCCAACCTAATTCCTAACATTTCCAACTTGATTATTTGCAGGGAAGGAATGAGGACAATAATATATGAGAACTCCCCTAATGTCAATTTTTGGTGTAAACAAAACATTTCACAGTGTTCAATTAGTTGCTAACAATTCTGGGCTATAATAAAGTTAATATTTTTCTTTTTAGTTAAACCTTCATTTCTATCAATGTACTTTTTTAGTTGAAAAATCTTGTCAAGACTGACTTAGCTATAAAAGTATTTTTTTTTTTTTTGCTGGAGAATCAGAAATAACAGCTGTTATAAAGACCAGCATTTCCTGTGGATTCTGCAGGAAAAATGGCACCATGGAGGTTCTCGGTTCCCCCTTGTGCTACGCTTCCATTTTTTCCATATTTTGCAGAACAGATACTGGGCAAGAGTGTTTCTCATTTCACAGCCTTTGGTTAGACCAAGCACAAAGGCACTCAATTATTAGTGTCAAATTAATCAGTGATGGGACTGGAATCTCACAGTAACACAGGTGTCTCAGCGCAATCAGCTCGCCCAAGGCCTCAGCAAAAGTTAGCTTTCTTCTCTCCCTCCCATGTTCATTTTCTGCACTATAAGGAATACATCAGTAAAAAATTTAAGGCATAGGAGCATGCCTGTATTCTCAGTGGTTTTTCCATTGAATCAACAGAAATGGACTGTGATCATCGTGAGAAAGTTAGATATATATAGTAGTTATTTCAATATAATGTTAACAAGGGCTGGGGAGATGGCTCAGTAGAATAAGCACTTCCCTGGCAAGCGCAAGGGCCTGAGTTCAATCCCCGGTTCCGGAAAAAAAAAAAAAAGTTAACAAATAGTAGTACATTTTGGCTAAAGAAACCCTAAAATGCCCAAAGGGGCAGAGGTTAGGGAGCCATGCCTGCATTTCCACTGCAGCTCATTCTGATTGACCTCTGTGAATGTGGGTGTGTTACCAGCCCTCTTTAAGCTTGCTTTCTCACCTCTAAACTGCATGTGACTTCCACTTTTCTGAAGTTGTGATGGTCATGCAGGCACTTATGTAATCTGTAAACCTACAAATGCTAGAATCTAGCTGAAGCTGTTTATTTTATAAGTGCCAGTTATTGTTAGTGTTGTTCTCAATTACACTCACTAGGCATTGTTTTTGGTCATTGAAATCTGGAGAGAAATGGCCGGTTCATTTTGCCTACAGAGATGAATAGCAGGGAAGGTGGATTCCATTTGTAGTCTCTGCCCCATTGCTCCCTGTCCTGCCTGACCTAGAACAAGAGTACCCTGCAGTCAACTCTAATTCTCAGATAAATGGGGTTTGAGGATATAATCTATTCAGTGCATGCATAGTTCAGATTAGAAATGTTTCAAGGAAGAAGCAAATATTTTCATGGAATGGGATAGTTAGTGATTCATATATCTGATGGTGAGAATATAGAGCCAGGAGAATAAAACAAAGCCACAAGACATAGTTAGTTGGGCAGATGTACTTCCTAGGTAGTTGTGTTAGCCACCAGGCAAGGCAGGCACCATCAGGGTTCAGCTCCTCTGCTCATCAGAGAAAAGCTGGTACCTCTCTATGTCCACTAAGCAATCTCCAAAGTGCATTTTCTTTTTGTTTCAGTGAAGGGTGTTTGGAAAAACTTGCAAAGCACCAGTGCAAGTCACCAAGTTCTGACCCCACTCTTCTCAAGGGACCTGCAGTGAACCATGCTCATTATAGTGCTGTATTCTCCCCCAGCCCTTTGCTCCTGCCATCTTTTTTTTTTTTTTTGTACATGTGCTCAACACCTCAAACTGAGCATGCTCAAGAATGTGTCCATCTTGGCACATGAAGATGAGTCCTCGCCATATAAATGGGTATCCGTGTTCTCAGCGAACCACACCCCCTTGTCTGCAGTGAACACTGCAGCAGTATTTACTTCCGGTGCCCTGCTTACGTGGTGTAAGTGATGAAGCTCTCCCCATCCTTTGTCCCCCCAGCTGTGTGTATTGCTTTGTGCTCACCAAGAGGTGAACCAACTGTGTTCTTCCATAAGACACGCTAAGTGTCTAGCGGTGTTAGGTTTTCACACAGTCTTGCTTGCATTTCACTGAAGCTGAAACAAATGATGCTAATGCAGGTCATTTGTTAGGTGTTTGCAGCTTGCTTTTGGTTGGGAGGTTCTTGACATAGTTGATATGAACCATGCTTTTATGTTTTCAGGGTCCCCAGATTACTTAGGACACCTACGGATATCCTCACCTGGCAGGATTTTAGCATAATACCCATGGCAGCACTCATGATTGGGCCGTGCCTCTTGTATTCTGCCACCACAACACACTCCAGTGGAATTTGGAAGGAACGGGATATAGTTTTCTTCACAACAGTTGTATCCAGGCTGGGGGTTGTAGAGAACGCCATTGCAACAAACCTGCAAGTTCAGAATCAGTGTTCAAAAGACATCAATTTAATTAAGAGTGCTGTATCTCAGGCAGTATAATTATTGCTCATAGATTATTGATCTGAGATTGCATTATTCACAAGTCACAGGTTTGAAATGTATTTTACAACATCATTCAAATTCTATAAGTGTTATGTGATACAATTCAGCTTGTTTCTTAGCCTTCAGACACATGTTGTTCTCTACCATGAGATCCTACAAAGAAAATCAATTATCTTTGCATCTCAGTGATTCCTACAGAAAGACATTGAGAATTGGTGATGAGTCATTTTGTTCACATATATGTCTTTCTTTTAATGAGTGTTTATTTGAAAACAGTCACCTGTATGGAAAATGTCCCTCACTGATCCTTTTCTAATAGATTGACTTTTCCTCATAATTTATAGGATTACTTATTTATGAACCAATCTTCAGACAAAGTAGTCTTCATAGAGACCAACATT